CCAGATTAAAAATGTGTACCACGGGGGGGGGGGGGGGGGGGGGGGAAGGAGGGAACTACAGAGGGGATACAAAGTAAATAAAGTGTAATTGATTAAAAAAAAAATGTGCAGCACCTGCCTGGCCCAATTTGAATCATACCTGCATATGGAGCCATTCCTAATATAGTGGGCATCAGGCCTCTGTAGAAGCCAAGGAAACCACCCTCCTGTGAAGGAAGAAAAGCAGACCATTATCGCACACTCATTATGATAAACATCATACAATGAGAGCATGTGATACAATGGAAACTACCCTTGGACTCACCCGAACACAATCATGGGCTTCTCAGGGTTACAGCTGCTGCTGCCACAAACAAACTCCCTCCTTCCCTCCTTCCCTTCCTCCTTCCCTCCCTCCTTCCCTTCCTCCTTTCCTCCTTCCCTTCCTTTTTCCCTTCCTCTGTCCCTCCCTCCTTCTTCCCCTCCTTTCCTCCATCCCTCCTTCCTTTTCCTGTGGTGCGGGGGATCAAATCTAGGACAGACTTGTGCAGAGTAGACAAGTGCTCTATCACTGCTCTACACCTCTAACCTAGTACCATCAAGCCCAAACAGAGGAAAAGGTAGATATCCTTCAATAGTTTCCTAAATATAAGAATACACACTATAAATTTAGAAAGTGGGGTGAAATACCTTTGCATAAATTGTCTTGAATGCATGGATGATCCCTGAATAGGTGTGTTCTCCTTTCACCTGGAAAGCTAGGCGCACCCTAACCACATCAAGAGGGTAAGTGCAGATAACCGCTGTCATGCCTGAAAAGAGAGAAATCATAAACGTAAAAAAGTGATATATACATGTACACACACACACACACACACACACACACACGCACCCTAGAATAACATTCTCAGTATTACAGAAATGGTGAAACCTAATTAGAGCAAAGATGATATCAAGGACTAAGACTCAAATCATACAATAGCAGTAGCTAAAAAGTAACCTAAGCAGAATTAGGGGGTTTGGGTTGGTTGATAGGTTGTATGAGACATGATCTCAGTATGCAGCCTTGGCTGGCCTACACTTAGAGATCCAGCTGTCTCTGTCCATGAAGATGTGTGTCACCACTCCTGGAAAGAGTCAGTTTTTTAAAAAATCACCTCAAGTCTCTCACACTGTGAAATCTACTGTCAGCACCAAAATGGTGAAGCCCAAACAGATCAAGGGGGTTTTATTTTATTGGATGTGAGGTTAGTAGTAAAAATGACTGTAGGCCAGACAGTGGAGGCACACACCTTTAATTCCAACACTTGGGAGGCAGAGGCAGATGGATCTCCTAGTGGGAGGCCAGCCTGGTCTACAAAGTGAATTCTAGGACAGCCCGAGCTCACAGAAAAACTGTCTTGGGAAAAAAAAAGTGTAAAACTTGCTGATTGGTGGAGTGGGAAGTCAGCACAATAGAAGTCCTCACCAAAACAGAGCCTGGCACTTGTCCAACAGACCAGAATCGGGATTTAGTTGACCCCATAGGCAACAGGATGAGCTGATTCTCAACTACCATGTCTTCAAATTCATTTGCGTGACAACTGGTGAAGCCCAGCTTTTTGAGATGTGAGTCTTTTGGTGGCCAGGGAACTTGAATTTGGCTCTATGAAGAACTTCAATCACATGCTCCTTATTTTGCAGCTTGGTGCAGATGAACAGAAGGACCTGGCCAAAGTGAAGCTGGCTTGTGTGTCCTAAGGCTTCCCAAAGGGAGCCTGAGAGCCCCAGCCAGGACAACACCATGGGAAGCAGATGACGCAGGAAAGGTAGAACCACACTTGGATGTGAGCGACAGCTTCACAAAGCCTTGCCATGTACTTGTTGCCACAGATATAGATGGCCTTGGGGCTTTGGAGGAGCTGCTCTTATCTGACACCAGGGGCCACAAAGTAAGAGTTCATCCATACTAGCCTTCTTCCACCCCAGGCCAAAATCGCAATCTTAGTATCAGAGACACCAAAGCAGAAAGGGGACTTTGGGTGTGGTCTGTTCTTACAATCCCTAGGAATTGTAAGAGCAGGGTCCCACGGTATGCCGGGCTCTTATGGTGTTCCAGAGGGCAAGAAGTTCCTCAGGTTTCATGGAGCGGGATTTATTCCACTTGTTTACACCCAGTTTTAAATAAAATAAATTTCAAAGCACAATCACCAGTTTCTTTTTAGAATTTAGATTATTTTATTATTAACTAAATAGAATAAGAATATATATGTTGTGGCTGACACGTGTAACCAGGCATTCCAGAGATTGACACAAAAGAGTTACCACAAGTTCCAGACCACCATGAGCTACTAAGCTCTAAGCAGCCTGAGCTGCAGAGAACCCTGTCTCAAAAAACAAAAACAAACAAAAAAGTCTGGTAGTAGAGCATTCGAGCACTTGAGAGATGGAGCCAAGGGGACAGGAACTGGATGTCATTCTCATTTTCAGATACATAGTAAATCTGAGGCCAGCCTGGGCTATAAGCCTGGCATGGTGGCTTTAATCCAGGCACTCAGGAAGCAGAGGCAGGTGGATCTCTATGGGTTTATAGCCAACCTGGTCTACATAACGAGTTCCGGGTCAGCCAAAATAAAACAGAAACCAAAAATGAGGGAGAAGGCAGCAAGATGGCTCAGAAGGTAAAAGAACCTGCCACACAACGTGATGTCCTGAGTTTCATCCTCACATAGCATGGAGGAGAAAACCAACTTCCAATAGTTGTCTGGTGCTTCACGTGTGTGTTAAATGAGCGAGTGTGCATGCACACACAATACACACACAAATATTAAAAAATTAAAGGGCCAGTGACAGTTCAACAGGTAAAGGCACTTGCCAGCAAGCCTGATAACCCAAGCTCAATCTTCAAGAAACCAATTCCACACATATATACACACTTGCTCACACAGATGTAATTTAAAATTTTTTGGGTTTTATTTTTTTGGTTTTCAAGACAGGGTTTCTCCGTGTATCCTTAGCTGTCCTGGACTCTCTTTGTAGACCAGGCTGGCCTCGAACTCACAGAGATCCATCTGTCTGTGCTGGGATCATTACACACCATACCTGATGTGTAATTTACAATTTTTTCTTTTGCTTTTTTTTTTAATTTTATTTTATTTTATTTTTCTTATTAGTTACATTTTGTTAACTCTGTATCCCAGCTGTATGTAATTTACAATTTTTAAGGTAGGAAAAAAACATACCCTTTTACTTTGTGCTTTTTTTGTTTTTTTGATAGCATCTTGCTGTACAGCCTCGGCTGGTGTGGAATTCTCTACGTAGCCCAAGCTGGCCACCAAGTTTCAATGATCCTCATGCCTCAGCCTCCAGAATGCTAGAATCCTAGAGAGGCACCACTGTGTTGGCAGTAACTCTTGATAAAGAAACCTCATTAGTAAGTTCTCAATGGTTTCTCTTTTGTTTTCTTTTGGGGCTTTTATTTTGCGCGGGGGGGGGGGGGGGGAGTGGGGGTTGAGACAGGTACTGGAAATCACTCTGTACACCAGGCCAGCCTTGAACTCAGAGATCTACCTGCCTCTGCCTCCAGCGTATGCCATCACCATGCAGCTCAGTGATTTTTCTTTGCGTTTTTGTGTTTTGTTTGTTTTTGACACAAAGCCTTTCCATTATGTAGCTCAGGAATTGGAACTCTGATATGTAGACCAGGCTGGATCAAACTTACAAAGATCTGCCTGCCTCAGCCTCTTAAGTGCTGGGATTAAAGAAGTGTGACTTGACACTCTCAGTTTTTCATGAATATATTATTTCAATTTTCACAATCAAGGTAAGTTTATTTTTTTTAGATTTCTTTACTTTATGTACATGAGTGTTTACTTGGATGTATGTTTACCACATACATGTCTGATGTCAGCGAAGGTCAGAAGAGGGAGTCACATCCCAGAGCTAGAGTTATGAATAGTTGTGAGCCACCATGTGGGCACTGGGAATTGAACCTGGACCCTCTGCCAAAGCAAGTGGCGCTCTTAACCACTAAGCCATCTCCCCATTCCCAAGTTTAACACTTGTAATTCCAGCCTTGAGGTGAGAGCAGAAATCCAAGGATTCAACGCCACTTTATCTAAACCCTATTTCAAAAAAACAAAACAAAACAAACAAATGAAGACATGCAGGGATGTAGCTCACTTGTTAAAGGCGTGGCAAGCACTGGTGAAGCCCCGGACTCAATTCCCAGTACCACATCAATCAGACATGGCGGTGCGTACTTATGGATCCAGCACTTGGGAAGCAGAAGCAGATCAGAGGTCAAAATCAGCTTCAACTACATAGCAAGTTCAAGGACACCTGTGATACCCAAGACCCTGGATAGAAACAACAAAACAAGGGCCAGTTGTGATGGCACATGCCTTAATCTCAATACTTGGGAAGCAGAGGCCACCCTGGTCCAGAGTTCTGGGCCAGCCAGGGCTACACAGTGAGACTTTGTCTCAGAACAGTCACTCAGGCTGGGAATGTGGCTCAGGCGTAGAACATTTGCTTAGCATGTGCCAGGCATGACTTCAGCCCCAGCACTGAAAGGAAAGGAAAAGTTTACTTCTTAAAATGTTGTCTTCAGGTTCTTGTTTTTGTTGGTTGGTTGGTTTAGACATTCTGACCTAGAACTCTCTACATGATCGCAAAGTAACTTTGAACTTGTAAAAGTCTTCTAGCCTTGGTCTCCTAAATGGTTGGAATGCAAGCACATCTAACTCCTTGCTTAGCTGAGGGTCCCTGTACATACACATTGCTTAAAACGTGACTCAGTTAGCATTCTTTCTTGGTCTGGTAGCTTTTCTAATTTTACTGAACTTATTTTTACATGTTTTAGTTTTTTGAGATAGGGTCTCTCTAACATAGCCCCGGCTGGACTGGAACTCTGGTATGTAGAGTAAACTGGCCTGGAACTCAGATATCCAATGCCTCTGCTTCCCAAATGCTAGAATTAAAGATGCACCACCACTCCGGGCTGTTAAAAGTTTCATAGCCTGGGCTGGCCTCCAATTCCTTATCCTCCTGTCTCGGACTCTTTAGCATATCCTATAGCAGTGGAGTGCACAACTACAACTAGTGGAATTATCTATTTATGTTTAGTGTTTAGCCATGGCATGTGGGGAGAGGGCAGAGGACTTGCAGGAGCACGTCCTCTCCTTCCACCATGGGGATCCCAAATACCCCAGGCTTGGCCACAAGCACCTTTCCCTGCTGAGCTGTCTCACCTGCCCAGTGTTTAGTCTGAGCCTCTTCTTTCAGAGGCAAACCACTTAGCTCCTGTTCACAGCACCCCACCCCATCTCTCTTTCCCCGCTCAAGAACTGACATTTTTAAAAGGGACACAGAGGGCACTGGAGAGGAAGCACCAGGTGGGGCCCAGCTTAGCTCTAGTGCTCAGAGCCACAGCCGTCAGCCATCCAGAGGTTTATCTCAGGAGGTTGCTGCCTCCCATTTGGGTGCCTTTTCTTTGTGATGAAATACGGAAACCACAACTTCTTAAATAATCCTCCTGACAACTTTTCTCTTCCCTCAATCAATATAACTAAAATCCAATACAATAAGGGGACATCTTTACTTTCCAGGGGGTAATGAGCCTCAGTCAGGCTGAAGTGTGCTTTTGATTGCTATGGATGGGCAAATGCTTTTCTTCTTGAGTCAAGAAATTGAGAACTGGGGCTGGAGCAATGGCTCAAAGGTTAAAAGCACTGCTTGCTCTTCCAGAGGTCCTGAATTCAATTCCCAGCAACCACATGGTAGCTCACAACCATCTATAATGAGAGCTGGTGCCTTCTTCTGGCGTTCAGGTGTAATTGCAGGCAGAACATTGAATACATAATAAAATTTTAAAAATCTTTAAAAAAGAAGAACAAGAAGAAGAAATAATTGAGAACTAAACACTTCATCCAGATCAAGAAAGACTTTCCTATCAAATGGCATATGAGTAACTGAGGTCAGCCTGGATCTCAGGAAGTGTTCTGTCTGTTCATCCGCCCAGAACCTCAGACAAGAGAAGACTAGAGAGTATAAGAACTCAAGCCTTCACATCTAGGTTCTGGCACTTTACTTCTTTTTCTTCCATCATCTTTATCTTGTCAGCCTTAGTTCCATAGAAACTGGCAAAGGAAAGGCGGCCTTCTTCAAAAAAATAAACAAAGTCAAGGTTCCTCAAACGCAATCTTGACTCTCAGTCCGGCAGTTTTCATTTGTTCAGTATGTACTGGACTATAACTGTAGAATATGAGAACGGCTCGACCAAGGTTCAAATTAAGATGCTCTGAAACAATCATTTTAAAAATCCAATTTTTACTTTAACAAATATAAAATTTCCATTGTTACATTTGAAAGTGATTAAAGATAGATAAACAAAGTACTAGATTTCTAGTATAAATTAATCAGAACATTAATTCATACTTAAATAATAGAAACAAAACAAAAACTGTAATTAATTAAATATGGAAAAACAGAAACATCACAGAGAAACAGCACAAAATAGTCTTACATTACCTAAACAAAACCACTTTTTTTTAAATAAAGATTTTTTTTTTCTTATTTTTAACTGTGTGTTTATCTGTCTGTGTGTCATTATGTGCAAGAGAGAACAGGTGCCATAGGAGGTAGGAGGCATCAGCTCCTCCTCAAGCTGGGATAGCAGAAACTGTGAACCCCTGAAGTGGGGGGTTAGGAACCTAATTCTGGTCCTCTGTAGGGGCAGAAATGGGGCTGGAAAGATGGCTGGGTAATTAAAAGTACATATTGCTCTTCTAGAAGACCTTGGTTCAACTGCCAGAAACAATGTTGGAGAGCCCACAAAGTCAAGAACTCCAATTTCAAAAGTATCAAACACCCTCTTCTGGCTTCCACAGGTAGATGTACACACCCCCACACACACCCACACACCCACACCCAACTAAATACAAATAAATAAACATTTAAATACAAGCCAGCCAGGACTACATAGTGAAATTATGCCTCAAATTAATTAATTAGTTAATTAATTAATAAGTATTTTAAAAGAACAGGAAGTACTCTTTTGAATTTTTAATTATAATCATTTATATTTTTATTAATTAGTTTATTCCCTTTGTATCCCACCTGTAGCTCCTCCTCCTTCCCTTCCAATCTTGCCCTCCTTCCCTCTTCTTCAACCCTGCCCCTCCCCAGTCCACTGATTGATAGAGGAGATCCTCCTCTATCTGATGAGATAGATGAGATCCTCCTTCATCTGATCCTAGTCTATCAGGTCTCACCAGGAGTGGCTGCATTGTCTTCCTCTGTGGCCTGGTAAGGCTGCTCCCCACTCAGGGGGAGGTAATCAAAGAGCAGGCCAATCAGTTTATGTCAGAGACAGTCTCTGTTCCCATTACTAGGGAACCCACTTGGACACAGAGCTGCCATGGGTTATATCTGTGCAGGGGTTCTAGGTTATCTCCATGAATAGTCCATGGTTGGAGTATCAGTCTCAGAATACATCCATGTGAAGATTTTTTGGTTCTGTTGCTCTCCTTGTGGAGCTCTTGTCCCCTCCAGGTCTTTCTATTTCCCCCTTCTTTCATAAGATTCCCTGTATTCTGTCCAAAGTTTGGCTATGAGCCTCAGCATCTGCTTTGATACTCTGCAGGGTAGAGTCTTTCAGAGAGCCTCTGTGGTAGGCTCCTGTCTTGTTCCCTGTTTTCCTCCTCTTTTGATGTCCATCCTCTTTGCCTTTCTGAATAAGGATTGAGCATCTTACCCAGAGTCTTCCTTCTTGATTAGCTTCTTTAGATATACAGATTTTAGTATGTTTATCCTATATTATATGTCTAACATCCACTTATGAGTGAGTACATACCCTGTGTGTCTGTTTCTGGGATACCTCACTCAGGATGATCTTTTCTAGTTTCCACCATTTGCCTGTAAATTTCATGATTTCCTTGTTTTTAATTGCTGAGTAGTACTCCATTGTGTAAATGTACCACAATTTCTGTATCCATTCCTCAACTGAGGGGCATCAGGGTGGTTTCCAGCTTCTGGCTATTACAAATAAAGCTGCTACAAACATGGTTGAGCAAATGTCCTTACTGTGTACTTGAGCATATTTCGGATGTGTGCCTAGGAGTGGTATAGCTGGATCTTTGTCTGAGAAAGTGCCAGATTAATTTCCAAAGTGGTTGTACAAGTTTACATTACCACCAGCAATGGTGGAGGGTTCCCCTTTCTCCACATCCTCTCCAGCATGTGTTGTCACTTGAGTTTTTGATCTTAGCCATTCTGATAGGTGTAAGGTAAAATCTCAGGGTCATTTTGATTTGCATTTCCTTGATAACTAAGGATGTTGAGCATTTCTTTAAGTGTTTATCTGCCATTCAATATTCTTCTGTTGAGAATTCTTTGTTTAGCTCTGTGCCCCATTTTTAAATTGGATTACTTGATTTTTTTCTGTTTAACTTCTTGAGTTCTTTGTATAGTCTGGATATTAGCCCTCTGTCAGATACAGAGTTGGTGAAGATCTTTTCCAAATCTGTAGGCAGTCATTTTGTTCTGGCAACAGTGTCCTTTGCTTTACAGAAGCTTTTCAGTTTTATGAGGTCCCATTTATTGATCGTTGATCTTAAGGCTATGCTATTGGTATTCTGTTCAGGAAGTTGTCTCCTGTGGCCAATAAGTTCAAGGGTCTTCCCCACTTTTTCTTCTAAGAGGTTTACTGTGTCTGGTTTTATGTTGAGGTCTTTGATCCACTTGGACTTTAGTTTTGCATAGGGTGATAAGTATGGATCTATTTGCATTTTTCTACATGTAGACATCCATGCTATCTAAAAAAAGATGCTATCTTTTTTCCATTGTATGGTTTTGGCATCTTTGTAAAAAATCAGGTGTCTATAAGTGTGTGGGTTTATTTCAGGGTCTTCTATTCAATTCCATTGATCACCAGTTGGTTTTTATGCCAGTACCATGCTTAGCCATTTGTCTAGTCCTCCAAATTATGTACTTTAATATAAAGATAGCTTATTTATCAGCTATAAAATGTACCTACTCATCTTACCTGCCATGGATCCAGCCATTAATCTGTGCACATGACCAGAAACTCCCAGCTTTGTAGTAATGAACTAGAAACCAAAAACAGTGAATTAAATGAGATTCTATTTTATGTGTTAAATTAGAGGGACCAGAAAGATGACTCAAAGGTTAACAGCACTTGCTGCTCTTGCAGACGGGTTCAGCTCCTAGTACAGCTCATAACTGCACCGTCTTCTGGCTACCACAGGTACCAGACACGTACAATTACACACACACACACACACACACACACACACACACACACACACACACGAAAGCAAAATACTCATACACAGAAAATTTAAATGAATCTGTTAATTTTTGAAAAGTCAGTTTTATGGCGGGGCCAGAAGAGTGGGGTACATGCCTTTAATCCCAGCATTTGGAAGGCAGAGGCAAGTGGATCTCTGTGAGTTCAAGTCCAGCCTGGTCTGCAGAACTAGTTCCAAGATAGACAAGGATAAACAAAGAAACCATGAATCAAAAAAAAAAAAAAAAAAAGTTTTTATTTTATTTATACAGTTGTTTTTCTGCATGTATGTTTGTCACATATGTGCAGTACCATCAGAGGCCAGAAGAGGGTAACAGACTCCCTGAAACTAGAGTTACAGATGGTCGTGAGCTACCATGTGGGTTCTGGGAATCAAGCCTGGGTCCTGTAGAAGAGTACCAATGCTCTTAACCACTAAGTCATCTTCAGCCCAAGAAATAATTCTTTTTTTGTTTTTGTTTTTAATTAGTCCAAGAGAGGCATGGGAATCTCTAAGATCAATGCCAGCCTGATCTACAGAATAAGTTCCAATATGCCAGTATAACCAAGGCTACACAGAGAAACACTGTCTCGAAAAAAAAAAAGAAGAAAAGAAAAAGAAAAAAAAATTAAACTTAAAAAGGATAAAGAAAATCTAATGAGTATTGCTCTAAAATAAAAGACTTTCATAACATGATTTCACTTGTTTAATAACTGGGGATATGGGGCTGGAGATATGGCTCACAGGTTAAAAGCAGTGACTGCTCTTCCAGAGGTCCTGAGTTCAATTCCCAGCAACCACATGGTGGCTCACAACCATCTATAATGAAATCTGGTGTCCTCTTCTAGAGTACAGGCATACATGTAGGCAGAACACTGTGCGTGTGTGTGTGTGTGTGTGTGTGTGTATCTTTAAATAAATTAATTTAAAAAATAACTGGGAATATGGTTCATTGGTGAAACATTTGTCTAGTGTGCTCAAGGCTCCAGGTTTGGTCCCCAGAACAGCAAATATATATGAAATATATATATATATATTTATGTTTATATATGTGTATAATTATATATATATGTATTTATTAAATATATAAATATATTTACATTTTATGCCAATTGAAAATACATAAACATAAAAGAATATAAATACATAAATATAAAAGAAAAGTCACACTGGTATTCTCAGAGGACTGGAGAACAAAAAGCCCATTATACCAGGCAGTGGTAGCATACACCTTTAATTCCAGCACTCTGGAGGCAGAAGCAAGTGGATCTTTTTGAGTTTAGGGACAGCCTGGTCTACAGGGCAAGTTCTAGGACAGCAAGAGATGTTCACAAAGAAACCCTGTCTCAAAAAAAAAAAAAAAAAAAAAAAAAAAGCCTATTGAGCGGGCTAGATAAACGGCTCAACAGGTAAAGTTCACAGTGAGATGGCTCAGAGTTTAAGAACACTGGCTGCTCTTCCAGAGATCCTGAGTTCAATTCTCAGCACCACATGGTGGCTCATAACCATCTACAGTGAGATCCAGTGCCCTCCTCAGGTGTGTAAGCATACATGAAGCCAGAATACTGTATACATAGTAAATAAAGAAATCTTAAAAAAAAAAAAAAAAAAAAAAAAAGTGCTTACTGCCTTCAGAGGACCTAAACTCAGTCCTGAGCACCCAATCCAGCTCAGGGAATTCAGTGCTGTTTTCTAGCCTCCACAAGCACTCGAACACACATATGTACACAAATACATTTAATTGCTAGACTCAATGTCACACTCCTGTAGTCCCAGCACTCAGGGAGGCAGAGGCAGGCAGATCTCTGTGAGTTTGAGGCCAGCTTGGTCTACAAAGCAAGTCCAGAATAGCCAAAGGTGCACAGAGAAACACTGTCTCGAAAAACAAAACAAAAACAACAAATACTTTTAATTTTAAAAGCATATTAAAATATTATACATTTTTTATTTTTACTTATGTATTTATATTTATATGTATTTTTATTTCTTTTTTTGAGACAGGGTTTCTCTGTGTAGTGCTAGAACTCACTCTATAAACCAAACTCACAGAGATCCACCTGCCTCTGCCTCCCAAGTGCTGGAATTAAAGGCATTATTTATCTTTTTAAATTTTTTTTTTAATTTTTATTCATTTTAGTTTGTGTTTGTGCGTGTGCCTGTGTGCACAAGTGTGCATACTCATAGAAGTTAAGGGACAAGGTGAAGGAGGCAGATCTACTATTAAATACCATGTGGATCCCAGAAATTGCAGGTGTTAGGCTTACCCTCTGCCACCTCACTGACCTCATGTTTATCTTTTTGAAAGACACTTTTGAGCTGTGCCTGGGGCTATGCACCTACAATTCCAGCACTTGAGAGGGAGAGGAGGAAAGATTAGGAGTTCAAAGCCAGCATTGGCTACATAGCAAATTCTAGGCCAGCCTTACATAGTAAGTTCCAGCCCCCATCTCAAAGCAAACAGGAAATGAGGAGATGCTCAGCTGGGAAAGTGCTTGCCACAAAAGCATAAAAACCTGCACTGGATTCACAGCAACAAGACTTTGAAGTTAATACCAAGAGTGTGCACAGGGTCCTAGGCTCCATCCCCAGCAATGGGAAAACTTTCCAAGGGAGAGCATGCTAGTATACCCATGTATTCCTGTACTTGGGAGGCTGAAGCACAAGGACAATCAGTTCAAGCCCATCCTGCGCTTTACATAAAAATACTGTTTCAGAAACACAAAAGAAGCAAGGGAGGGCCTACAAAATGACTCAGCAGTAAGGCAGTTGCCACCAAGCCTGAGCTGAGTCCAATACACAGGACCCACATGATCAAAGACTTCTACAAGTTGTTCTTTAACCTGCACGTATGCACCACGGCACACACACACATACACAAATAAAAACAAATGTTTGGTATTGAACATAACATTGAAAGACATGAAAGACGGGCTGGAAAAATGGCTCAGCGGTTAATTCCCAGCACCACGGTGGTTCACAATGTCTGTAATTCCAGTTCCAGAGAATCTAATACAACCATCTGATCGCCACCGGCTCTGCATCCATGTGGTACATACATAGGCAAGTAGACACATACTCACAAGTTAAAAAAAAAACAGAAAAGACAGAAAAATCCAACTACCGTTTTATAATGTTCAAACGCCATGAACTGGATTGCACCGTAGGGAAAAATTCGAATCATCATTGCACCATTTCCTTTATATAATCCAAGGTAGCCTTCTTTTCGGGGAACAGCACGCAGAGTAGAAAGTACCCCTATTACAGAAAGAGTTTAGAAGAAAAATACTATCAGTGAAAACTATTTTCTTAAGTGCTTTTGTTTTGTTCCTCTTTTTCTGTTAGTATGTCTTTGTTTGGTGTATGTGCTTGACAATGTGTGCGCCCTGGCTTGCTCACGTCACTGTGCATGTGTGCAGGTCAGTGGGTAACCCTGAGGCACCGGTTCTCTCCCACTATATTTTTATAGATTCTGGAGATCAAACTCAAGTTATTATGCTTATACCACAAGCATTTTACCCACTGAGTTATCTTGCTGGTCCTTGTTTTTGTTCCTTTTTCCTCCCTTCCTTCTTTTCTGTCTTCTTTGTGTCTGTGTCTGTGTGTGTTTTATTTTGTGACAGGGTCTCATGTAGCTCCAGCTGACTGTGATTCACAGAGATCTGCCTGCCTCTACCTCCTGAATACTGGATTAAAGACGTATACCACCAGCTTGACCCATTTTGTTCTTTTTCCTAACAGTAACCCCAACATCGGGGAGGCTAAGGGAGGAAGGTAGCATATTCAAGGTCAACATGGCCTACACGTAAGTTTGAGGCCAACCTAAAGAACAGTATGCCTCCTTCAATAAACATTTCTAAATTCAAATTTTCATAAAAAACACTGATAGAGATTACAAAAGCATCATTCATAATAAAATTGTATTTGAGGAATTGCATAATCGTATGAATGTTTTGTTTCGTTATTTTTAAACGGGTCTCCTCTGAGACTGGCCTTAGACATACTGTACAGCCAAGAATGACCCTGAGGTCTTGATCCTCCTGCCCCCTCCTCGTGCGCTGGGATTATTAGTGTGTGCCGTCATGCCTGACCACAAACGGTCATTTCTTTTTCTTTAACCATTTATTTCATTTTATGTATACAACTGTTTGGCCTACATGTGTGCATGCATTACATGAGTGCAGATGCCCAAAGAGTTCAAAAGAGGGCATTGGATCCCCTGGAACTGGGGTCATGAACGGTTATGAGCCACTGTGTGAGTGCTGCCCCATTTGAGTTCCTGTCCTAACTTTCTTCAGTGATGAACTGTGATACAGAGGAGCAAGTAAATAAACCCTTTCCTCCCCAACTTGCTTTTTGTCATGGTGTTTTATCACAGCAATAGAAACACTGTCAAAGACAGCATCTACAACTCACCTAAATGTTTGTAATGGTGGTTGTGAGCTTGTAATAAAACCTTTACTCGATCCAAAGGAGCAACTGTGGTTTTGGCACAGCATCCAGCGATACCTAAAAGAAAATGGGAAGGTTAAAAAGGAACTGGCTACCGTCTCTTCCTAAAGGCGACCATCACGAGCCCAGCCAGCATACCACCTGCAGTTCAGTTGGTCCCCATGGGAAGCAACAGGTAGTACTTAGTTCACCATGCTGAGCAGTGGGGTTCTGCAGATGAACGGCCCACTCCCTGTGACTAGAAACAGGGTCTCAGAGTATACAGCAATGTAATACCCACTACCTGATGAACAGGACAAGCTACCCAACTGGGAAGTTCTATTTGAAACCCTCTTCTTCTAGAAATGTGTCTTTCATTAAGACAAAATGGGGGCTAGTGAGATGGCTCAGAGGTTAAGAGCACGGGCTGCTCTTCCAGAGGTCCTGAGTTCAATTCCCAGCAACCACATGGTATCTCACAACCATCTATAAAGAGATCTGGTGCCCTCTTCTGATATGCAGGCGTACATGTAGACAGAACATTGTATACATAATAAATAAATAAACAAACCTTAAAAACATTTTAAAAAAGACATCAAAAAAACCTTTGCCAACAACATTAACCATTCATTTTTAATGCAGGAAGTATGCATTTGGTCCCTATACTGTTGCACTGGCTCACAGGTATGCATGGAAGCAGAGACGTGCTTACAGGAAGTTCACATAGATGTCTGAACAGCCTACCAACACTGATGGCTCTAGAATGATCAAATAAAGGACATAGTGGCACACCAGCCTTTGGGAGGCTAAGTGAATTTCTATGAGTTCCCTTTGCTGCAGCTGCACAGTTCCAGGCCAGGTTGAGCTAGAGAGTGAGATCAGTCTCAAAAACAAACAAACAAACAAACAAACAAACAAATATTGGCCCATGCCTTTAATCCCAGCACTTGAGAGGCAGAGGCAAGCAAGTTATCTGTGAGTTTGTGGCCAGCCTAATCTATACAGTGAGTTTCACGACACTCAGAGCTACAGGACAGTAGAGAGACCCAGCCTCCAAGGAAAAGAAAAGAGAAAAAGAAAAAAAGAATAATAAAAATAGAAAACAGAGAAAGAGAGAAACAAGGACTGGAGAGATGGCTTTACTGGCTAATGGTGCTTGCTGCCAATCCTCATGACCCGAGTTTCATCCTGAGAGTCACATTATGGAAGGAGTAAACCAACGCCAACAATTTACACACACGCGCGCACGCACACATGCGCGTGTGCGCGCGCGCACACACACACACACACACACACGTAATTTAAGAATTTATTTTATTTTTTAGTCACAAGCACGTTTATTATCCTCAGAAACACAGCAGTTCATGGAAAAAGACCAAGTCAGGAGGCACACTGCTTCTAGAAGCAGGCTCGTGGGGCGGCAATGTCATAGGTGGCAGGAATTTAAGAAATTTTTGAGGGGCTGGAGAGATGGCTCATTTGTTCAAAGTACTAGCTGCTTTTCCAAAGGTCCTGAGTTCAATTCCCAACAACCACATGGTGGCTCATAACCATCTAGAATGAGATCTGGTGCCCTCTCCTGGCTTGCAGGCATATCTATTAGCAGAAAATGATATACATAATAAATAAATATGTCTTTTTTTAAAAAGACATTTTAGAAAGCCAGTTGTGGTGGTGCCTGACTTCAGTCCTAGCACTCAGGAGGCAGAGGCACGTATCTTGCACCCCACATGCTCTACATTTCAAGTTCCAGTACAGCCAAGGCTACAGAGACCTGGCTCAAGAAAAAAAGAAGAGAGAGAGATGGAATTTTAGGAGTTTGAGAGATGATTCAGCAGTTAAGAGAACTGGTAGTTCTCTCAGAGGACCTGAGTTCAGTTCCCAGCATCTGCCCAGCCATTCACAACCATCTGTAACTTCAGTACCAGGGTATCCAATGCCTTCTGGCATCCCCTGGCATTACCTGCATGGTCTGTAGTCATACTTAAAAGCAAAACACCCATACACAAAATAAAAACAAAGGAAATTTGTTTAATTTAAGCACACGCTCACAAACATGAGGGCCTTTCTACTAGGACCAGGCATAGGTACACTCCTATAATCCCAGCATCGGGGAGGCAGAAGCAGGAGAGCTGCCTCAGCTACATATCGAGTTTGAAGCCAGACTAAACTATGAGACCCTGCTTCAAAACGCCTCCACCACCTCTACGTGCTGGGCAAACCGGAGGCCCAGAGTTTGGGCCTGACGTCAGACACAGATCTTGGAGCTCACTGGGCAGCCACCCCAGCCAGTCAGTGAGCTCCAGAGCCAGTCAGTGAGCTGCAGAGCCAGTCAGTGAGTTCCAGTGAAAGACGGCCTCAGAAACGAAGGTGGATGGCTAGTCATCGTGGTGCACACTTTTAATCTCAGCACTTAGGAAGCTGAGCAGATGGATCTTGGTATGTTTCAGGTTACCCAGAGCTACACAGTAAAACCCTGTCTGAATGGACAACGATGGGTGAGTAGAGATAGATGCATAGATAGACAGATGAGAGAGAGAGATACAGAGACATTAAAAAACAAAACAAAACAAGGAAGACAGTGGTGGTTCACACCTGTAATCCCAGTACTCAGTGACTTGGGAGGCTGAGACAAAACAACTGCCAAGAATTAGAGGCCATTCTGAGCTAGGTAGTAGTTAAGGTCCAGACCAGCCAGGGCTACATACAGAGACCCTGTATCAAAAGAAAAAAGAAAGAAAGAAAGAAAGAAAGAAAGAAAGAAAGAAAGAAGGAAGGAAGGAAGGAAGGAAGGAAGGAAGGAAGGAAGGAAGGAAGGAAGGAAGGAAGGAAGGAAGGAAGGAAGGAGAAAAGGAAGAACAAGAAAATAGCCAGGTGTGATGGAACAAACCCAGGACTCAGATAGGCAGATCTCTGTGAGTTTGAGGCCAACTTGGTCTACAAAGCGAGTCCAGAACAGCCAAGGCTACACAGAGAAACCCTGTCTCAAAAACCAAAACTAAACAAACAAACAAGAATAGGAAAATAAAATTTGAATGTGTAACAAAGCACTAGGCTCAGAGATCCAATGGTAGGCACTATGCCAAAACGAATGATTATACAATCTCATTTAACCCCTTCAGTACTCTGACAAAATCAGAGTCTGGTGGCACAGGCCTATAATCCTTCCTACTAGGGAGGCTCAGTAGGAAAATCCCAAGCTTAAAGCTAGCATGTGCTACAGAGCAAGTGCAAGCAAGACTACCAGAGGCAACTTAGTGACACTGAACATGAGTAAAAAGGGCTGTGGAACAGGAGCTGCTCTTGCAGAGGACTTGTGAGTCTAGTTCCATGGGATTCAGTACCCTCTTCTGTCTGTAGGAATTGGGTATACACACGGTACACATACATGCAAGCAAACACTCACATACATCAAATTAAATAAATAATTATTTTTTAAAAAGAAAAGAGGAGAGGAAGAGGAAGTGGTGGAGGCGGCAGCAGAGGCGGAGGCAGCAAAGCTAAGACCATCTAACAAAGCAGAGGCAGGAGTCTGAGGAATTCACAGTCACCTTCAGCTAGGATACAGGAGATTCTGTGTTTAAAAACTCTTAGCAGCGGCTGGAGAGATGGCTCAGAGGTTAAGAGCACTGACTATACTTCCAAAGGTCTTGAGTTCAATTCCCAGCAACCACATGGTGACTCACAACCATCTATAAAGATTTCTGGTGCCCTCTTCTGGCATGTGGGCACACATGCGAGCAGAATACTGTATGAATAATAAGTATTGAAAAAAAAAAACTACAAACAAAAACTCTTAGCAGAGTCAGGCATGGTGGCACACACGTGTAATCCCAGCATTTGGGAGGGGGAGGGAAGCAGGCTAATCTCTGAGTTTGAGCCTAGCCTGGTCTACAGAGTGAATTCCTGGACAGCCAGGGCTACATAGAGAAACCCTGTCTCAGGGGTGGTGGGGAGCAGAGGCAGACAGATCTGAGTTTGAGGCCAGCCTTGGTCCACACTTAGGAACTGCTTCAACTTCTGGCATGCAGATATGCAGCTGAATAGACCACTGCTTGAGCAGCTTCACCAGCAGCACTGGACAGTCCTAGCTTAACGTCCTCCATCCCACAGCAAGGGCAGTGTCCACTCCTAATCTCTCCCCATGTGTGGTGGTGTGAATGAGATGTCTCCAGTTAGTGGCTGCTGGGGGAGGACCAGGGGCTACGGCCTTGTTGGGAGAGGTGTGTCACTGAGGGCTTTGATGCCATTCCCAAGGGATCAAGAGATGCGAGTCCTCAGCTGCTATTCCAGACGCTACATCTGCTCCTCAATCATAGACTACTATTCTTTTGCTACTGTAAACCCCAAGTAAAGTCTTTCTTCTCTAAGCCGTCATGCATGTTTTATCACCAATACACCAGTAAACACCACAAAAAGCTCTACTTACAGCCTTCAGTCTGACAGCTACATCCTTGATCAAGCTCTAACAAGTCACCCTGACCCTCCTCCTCTCAGCTGTCATCTGTCAGATAATCCTGTTTGAGCCGGTAAGGTATGTAACCTCAGCACTCAAGAAAGTGAGTCAAGGGCTGGAGAGATGGCTCAGCGGTTAAGAGCACGGGCTGCTCTTCCAGAGACTCTGAGTTCAGTTCCCAGCAACCACATGGTGGCTCACAGTCATCTATACTGGGGTCTGATGCCCTCTTCTGGCATTCATGTGTACATACAGACAGAGCACTCATGTGAAATAAATCTTTAAAGAAAAAAAAGAAAGAGACAAAAATATTAGGGTCTATAGACACAGAGGATTTACACACGTTTGAAGCCAGCTTTGGTTACATAGCATGAGCTACTTTAAGAGCCTGCCTCAAGAAAAAAAAAAAATTAAACAAACAGATATGTAAGCTCATGCCTATAATTCCCAGCAGTCGAGAGGTAAAGTAGAAAAATTCAGGTGTTTAAGATCGCCCTCAAGGGACTGGAGAGATGGCTCAGTAGTTAAGAGCACTGCTTGCTCTTCCAGAGGTCCTGAGTTCAATTCCCAGCAACCACATGGCGAATCACAACCATCTATAATGAGATCTGGTGCCCTCTTCTGGTGTTCAGGTATACATGCAGACAGAACATTGTATACATAATAAAATAAATAAATCTTAAAAAAAAATCACCCTCAAATACAAAATGAGTTCAAAACTAACCTGGGCTACATAAGAAACTATCTACAAACAAATAAAAAAATAAGGATTTTTTTTTAATTTTTAAAAATTAAAAAAATAGGGCTGGAGAGATGGCTCAGAGGTTAAGAGCACTGGCTGCTCTTCCAGAGGTCCTGAGTTCAATTCCCAACAACCACATGGTGGCTCACAACCATCTATAATGAGATTTGATGCCCTCTTCTGGCATGCAGGCTTACATTCAGGCAGGATACTGTATACATAAAAAATAAATCATAAAAAAAGATTTATTAAGCTAGTAGAGAAGAGATAAAAAAGGCTTGAACAGGAGTTTTACAATCAAGAACTATAAATAAGGTCGAACCCTGAGGAAAGGTGGTAACTAAATAAAGAACTGTTTGGAAAGGATTAGGATGTGTGGCCTTGTTGGAGGAGGTGGGCCACAGAGAGTAAGCTTTAGGGTTTCAAAAGACTGCCACCATTGCCCGCATGACTTTCTGTGCCTCCAGCTTACTAATCAGGATGAGCTTTTGCTGAAGTGATGCCTTTGCTCTGCCATCATGGCTTCTAAAATCAAAGCCCAACTGAATCCCCCCCCCCCCCCGTTTTTTGAGATAGGGTCTCTACATATATCTCTGTCTGTCCTGGAATTTGACCTGCAGACCAAGATGGCCTTGAACTCACAAACAGCCACCTGCTTCTGCCTCCGGAGGGCCAGGATTAAAGGTATGCACCATCACACCTGGCTGGGTTTTTTTTGGTTTTTCAAGGCAAGGTTTTTCTGTGTAGCTCTGTCTGTCCTGGAACTCACTCTGTAGGTCAGGCTGGCCTTGAACTCATATAGATCCACTTGCCTCTGCCTCCCAAGTGTGGGACTGAGAGATATCTTTTTAATCTGCAGAAGGAAATGATTACATTCCCAACACAGCTGCAAACTATGGATACGATTTTTCCATGAGTCCCCAATGATTTTTTTTTTTTAAATTGTCAGTCAGAAATAGTTTGAGTTTGCTTGAGTTAGTCAATCATCCTGGGGAGAGGGAGATAAGAGATACAAACATCTGCATCCAGACAGAAAGAGGAAATCCCAGACATGTAAATCTTCTGGTCTTGAAACCACAACCACAATACTCCTTTTCAAGCAGTTACAGCTTGTTGCTTGTTTAACACATGACTCCTGGAACCAGTTTTGGTGGTAGGCAGTTTTGTACAATACCACTAGTCATTTTAGTTTTTGTTGTTGTTTTTGGTTTGGTTTTGGTTTTTCGAGGTACGGTTTCTCTGTGTAAAAGCCCTGGTTGTCTTGTAGACTAGGCTGGCCTCGAATTCACAGAGATCCACCTGCCTCTGCCTCCTGAGTGCTGGGTTTAAGAGCGCGTGCCAGCACGCCTGGCTTTTAGTTTTGTTTTTGAGACTGGCTATCGCTATGCATTCCCGGTTTGCCTGGAACTTGCTATGTAGACCAGGTTGAGCACAAACTCAAGATCTGCCCGCCTCTGCATCCCTAGTGCTGAGATCCAAGGCACGTGTCATTATGTCCAGCTCATATCCTAGTGTGTTTTTAAAGTTGGCCTCCAGAGGTGAACAGTGGTGGCACATGCCTGTAATTTCAGCACTTGGGAGGTAGAGGCAGAAGAATCTGGAGTTCAAAGCCAAAGTCAACTATATAAGTAGCCTGAGGTGGGAGGGGGTACATGGAATATTCTCATATTATCATCCCCTCTCCCTTTTCTCCTCTCTCTCTCTCTATCTCTCTCTCACACACACACACACACAAACACACATACACGAAGGGGCGCAAGCTCAAAGTGGCCTCCACCTCCATATTTGTTTTCCTTTTAAGCAAAGAGCAAAATCCAATCCTACACTGTCACTCATGTTCTTTGTGACAGGGGTGCCCACCTTGTCCCACCTAAAGGATCCCTTTCCTTTCAAGCACAGGGCACAGGTGCTTGCTTCAGTGGAGGGCCGGTGGAAGGATTAGCTGCTGCAGCGGCCGAGGTAAACACCCGGCTGGGCGCCGCAGCAGCACAGGCCCCGGGCTGTCACCGCTGGCTCTGACCCCGCCTGCGGCCGGGCTTCGCCAGCCCCGGGTCCCGGCGGCGGACACCTACCTCCGGCCAGGAAGGAACGCAGCCAGTAGAAGTCTCGGCGCGAGGCCGGGCCTCCGCTCCCCGCCGCCTGCGGCACCGCGGGTGCAGGGTCGGCCGCCGCCAGGGCCGCCGCCGCCGCCGCCGCCATGGGGACCTGTGCCACGTCCCGAGCCTCCGCTGCCAACTTACAAAACACTAGGCAGCACCATGGCTGGAGCCGGCTGACAGGAGCCGGGCCGCCGCGCGGGCGGGGCCAGATGATGCCCACGGGGCGGCCCATGGCGCGGAGTGATGACGCAAACGCAGCAGCTGGATCCCGGCCAAGGCGGTGGAGGGATCACGGCGGAAGTGGGCGTCACCCAGGGGGCCTGGACGCCCGGGTCTTGTGTTCCTGCCGAAGGTTTAAGGGAAAGCTGATCCTTCAAAGCTCACCACATCTTTAGCCAGGCGAGGTCGTTCAGGCCTGCATCTCAGCCTGCATCTCCTGATGCCGGAGAACGGAGATCAAGCTACGAGTGAGCTTGAGCCGCGTAGTGAAACTCATGCCTGTTGTTCCAGAACTCAGGATTCTGATGCAGGAGGATCACTTCCAGATCATAGTAAGTTCCGGATTAGCCGGGGCTGCAGAGAGAGACTCCGTGTCAAAATAAAAAGCTAGATCAAGCAAGGCTCAATAGGAAAAGGCACCTGTCACTAGGCTGGATGACCAGAGTTCTCTCCAGGCCCGGCTTACTTGAAGGAGACAGTTCCCACAAGTTGTTCTCAGACCACCACACATGCACCATAGCAGCGCGCGCGCACACACTATAATAAATGTTGATAAATGTTGAGGGCTGCAGAGATGGCTCAGTGGTTAAGAGCACATTTGTTCTTGCTGATACCTGAGTTTGGTTCTCAGCAAAACTCCAGCTATAGAGAATTCCAGACTTTGTGGGCATCACGCGCTCATGTGATGCACATACATGCAGGCAAAACATATGTGTGTGTGTGTGTGTGTGTAAACATATATATATGTATACATATATGTATATAGTTTTTTGAGACAGGGTTTCTCTGTGTAGCCTTCGCTGGATTCGCTTTGTAGGCCGGGCTGTTCTCGAACTCACAGAGATCCACCTGTCTCTGACTCTCTGAGTGCTGGGATTACATACGTGTGCCACCACGCCCAGATCCAAAGTAAATATATTTAAAATAAATGTTAAAAAAAATTAAAATTACAAGGGCTGGAGAGATGGCTCAGTGATTAAGAGCACTGGCTGCTCTTTCAGAGGTGCTGAGTTCAGTTCCCAGCAACCACATGATGGTTCCCAACCATCTATAAAGTGATCTGATGCCCTTTTCTGGAATGTCAGTGTATATAAGATAGAGCACTCATATACATTAAATAAATAAATAAATATTTCAAAATTAAAAAAAAAAAAAAGAAAGAAACCTCATCCACAAAACTAACAAGAAACTACTTCAGAAAGTTCTCCTCCCTGAGGAGAAAGTTCTCTGCTCCCTGAGGGGAGAGCAGCCTTACCAGGCCACAGAGGAAGGGAATGCAGCCAGTCCTGATGAGACCTGATAGGCCAGGGTTAGATGGAAAGGGACTCCCGTATCAGTGGACTTGGAGAGGGGCATGGGAGGAGAAGAAGGAGGGAGGGTGGGGTTGGGAGGGCCTGAGGGAGGGGGCTACAGCTGGGATACAAGGTGAATAAACTGTAATTAATAAAAAATAAGTAAATTAAAAAAAGAAAGTTCTCAACTGCTGGCCTGTATTGATCATTAGCCCCCTGGGGCTACCCTCTGACCGCCCTAAAATGCACTCTTTCTAGAAGCTAACTACAGGCTCCCCATTCTTTCCAAGAATCTCTGAACTTACTCCTATCTCTCATCAACTCAGTCCTGCCTTGGCAACCACAACTACTCTACCCTAACCATTGCTTTGTTTTGTGTGTGTGTGTGTGTGGTGCCCCAGCTGCTAACATAAGGAGCACAACCTTATCTGGCTTTCTGATCCACTCCCATTTCCACTAGTCATATCCCAACTCTATCCCACACACAGACAAGCATTCTTAGGAATGCTCTGGTTTCTTTTTCTTTAACCACTGTACTCACAAACTCCTTTCCGTCCTCTTCTATTTCCTCTCTTTCCTCCCTGTCTTCCTCCACCCTTGCCTGCCTAGGGACCCACTATGTGGAGGTCCCAGCAGGGTGATACCGCTTTTCCTATATTCTTTATTAAAGACCTGTCCTCTTCTGTTTGGGGAAGGTCGTTCTCTTTGACCAAATATGCAGCTTTGGAAGGGGTATACATGGAGTGGGAAGAGAGGGGGCAGCACCCACATAACCAACCAGACCAACTTGGTGATCAGTCAAGTGATGGATCTTGCAGCCAGCTCACCCTCACATCCACGACCTCGCACTAAACTCTAACAGTGGCCCAGGCTGGTGTTGAGTCTGAGATTCTTCTGCCTCAATCTCCATGTGCTAAGAGTACAGGATTTCACCACCACTCCTGGGCTGCTGTGTGTGTGTGTGTGTGTGTGTGTGTGTGAGAGAGAGAGAGAGAGAGAGACAGAGAGAAACACACTGGGAACCCATTGACCTCAGAGCCTAGCAAATTTTAGGCAGACACTTTTTTAAGAAAAACAAGCTGGGTACATTGGTGGTGGTGCACACCTGTAATACCAGCACTCAGGGAGGCAGAGGCAGATGGATCTCTGTAAGTTTGAGGCCAGCCTGGTGAGTTTAGGACAGCCAAGGCTATGCAGAAAAACCCTGTCAGGAGTTTTCAAAACTTGATAATAATAATAAATTTGATTTTATGTACACTGGTGTAAGGGTGTCAGATCCCCTGGAACTGGAATTGAGTTACAGCCATGTGGTTGCTAGGAATTGAACCTGGGTCTACTGGAAGAGCAGATAGTGCTCCTTGCCACTGAGCCATCGCTCCAGCCCATAGGAAGACACTTTTAAGCCACCAGAATTTCTAACTGGCATCTAGGTTACCCATATTTAAACCCCCGATCCTCTTTACTAAATATACCATTCATTCAGCTTTCACCCTTCCATAAATAGGAACATTGTCTTCTGTCCATAAAACCACAAACTGAGTGAGTTTTTCTGCTCTTCTTTGCCCTCTACTGTCTATTCTTGACATACGGCTAATGTAATTTTTTAAAATTATGTATTCATTTTTATTGTAGTTGGGAGAAGCGCATGAGTGGAGGTCACAAAACAGCTTATGGAGTAAATTCGTTTTCTCCTTTCACCATGTGGCTCCTGGGGATTGAATGCAGGTCTTCAGATTTAGTAGAAAGTGCCCGTGCCCGTACCCTACTCTGCCCTTTTGCTGATCCTAAAGACCTAAAATAGCTTGGCATAGAGGCTTGTAATGACAACACTGGAAAGGCTGAGGTAAGAAAGATGCCAACAGTATAAAGCCAACCTGTTCTACATGGTTCTTTCAAGGCCAGCCTGGGCTACATTGTGAAACACTGTTAGAAAAGAAATAAGATTAAGGGCTTGGGAGATGGAGAGATGGCTCGGGTAAGTGGTTAAGAGCACTGTCTGCTCTTCCAGAGGTCCCGAGTTCAATTCCCAGTAACGACATGGTGGCTCCCAACCCTCCATAATGGGTCCTGATGCTCTCTACTAACTTTTCTGTGTTCATGCAGACAGAGCATTCATGTAAATAAATAAATAAATAAACAAACAAACAAACAAACCTCTGGGAAAAAATTAAAGGCTTGAGGATGTAGCTAAATTACATAGAAAGAAGCAAGCTCTAGTATGGCCCTTAGCACCAAACTAGACATGGTGGCATGCACTCCTCAGACCCTGGGCTATACAAGAAAGAGGCCTGTTTTTGTTTTGTTTCAGACAGGGTTTCTCTGTGTAGCCCTGGCTGTCCTGGACTCCCTTTGTAGACCAGGCTGCCCTCACACCCACAGAGATCTGCCTGCCTCTGCCTCCCTAAGTACTGGGATTAAAGGCCAAACAAAAAAACTTTTTTTTAAAGAGAGCAAGCTTGTATCCTACAGTGACCCAGTGAATGTCCCCTGTACCACAATAGCTAAGACACCATTCAGACACACCGGCTTTTCTGCTGGGACACTCGTGTGCTGCCACACCCAGCAAGTGACAGATATACGGAAAGATCAACCTTCTCTACCTTTTCTACTTTTAGAATATCTAGAAGATAGTGTTCATGGGTTGAAACAGAGAATTTAATCCCATGTCTCAAAGAGTTGGATTTTTTTTACGAATGTGAAATTAATAGGAAAACATATTACACAAAAGATGAGAAGTGGGCTTGTACCTGGGCATGGTGTCTCATTCCAGGGGCAGAGGAGGGTTTATTCCTGTGTCTTCATGGCCAGCACAGTTTATAGAAAGAGTTCCAGGCCAAGCTGTGCACAGTGGTGCACACCTGTAATCCCAGCACCCGGGGGAGGAGACAGGAAGACCTCTGTGAGTTTGAGGCCAGCCTGGTCTACAGTGAGTTCCAGGCCAGCCAGAGCTAGCTACACAGTGAGATAAAACAAAATAAATAGGAATTCTAAGAAAGAACATGTTTCAGGGAAGGCTATAATTAGAATGCCTTGTGGCATGGCTCTGATCTTGGGCAGGCACAAAACACACATACGCAATTAAGGAAACATAACTTGGTCAATAAACTAAAGACATAATCCAGTTTGGCTGGCCTAAGTTTCTGGTCCCCTAGCAGTGATTACCCAGTATTTGTAGGGCAGGTCACTGGCCAGTCTCTCTTTCTTCTGATACAGGTTCTGATTCTCAGCCAGGCACAGTGGAGCATGCCTGTAATCCCAGCAGGAAAGCAGAGGCAGGCAGATCTCTGTGAATTCTGGGCCAGTCTGTTCTACAAAGGGAGTCTAGGACAGCCAAGGCTACACAGAGAAACCGTGTCTCAAAAAACAAAACACAACAAAAAACTTCTGATTCTCCTGTCTCTACTTCCCAAATGCTGGGGTTACAGGCATTTGCTGCCACATCCTGACTTATGCATTATTGGGAGTGGAAGCCAGGCCTTCACAAATGCCAGGCAAACACTCCACCAACTGAGCTATAGATCCAGCTACAACAACCAACTCTGTTAAAGATGTAGGTCAAGGTTATGTCACAAACAGTCTTAGTCTTGGCTAGAGTTGAAACTTCATATTGTGGATAAGGAGAAGCTGATGACAACTGCATTTGGAAAACTTCACCAGAGAGGATGGGGAGGGCAGATCTAGGAATTCCAATGA